AGCCGCCGCCCGGCGGGCCCGGGATGGGCCCGAGGTGTGCCCGGGACGTACCCCGGGATGAATCTCGGGATGTACCTCGGGACTGTGCCACTCGCCAGGCCCGTCAAGGCGTCTGGGAGCGGCCGTGCACAGGGAATGCGCTGCCAGAGCCGCGGAGAGGGAACACACGGACGGGCAGGGCACAGAGCGCCGCGGCAGGCGCGGAGCTGATAACGCTACCCGTGGCAGCGAATAAATTGCATCGATCGTGCTTAGGAACGTGAAGTGCAAATTCACTTTCACAACGCCCGTTTCGTTGTGGTAACGGGGAGCACAAGGGCTGGTGAGCTATTTTAGATACTTGTGAAGTGGAGCTGAAACATCGGCGGCTTTCAGGCACGTACAGCTCGCAGTCCTTACACACGTACCGTGTGTCCGGACATTCCGTGTTTAACCTGGAGAAGTCAAAGCTGAGAGGCCGCTCGTGCCCCAGAGCACCCGGGCAATTCACCGCCCTCGGAGCAGGGCTGTGGGCAGGTGGATTAACCCTCGGGGGCTGTGCACTGCCGTGCTGGCTTTTAGCAAAGAGAAGGGAAAGGAATAAGAGGTGTTTGCATCTTCCCAGTCGTGTCAAACCGCTGCAGAACTGAGGCGATTCCTTTTGCCATCTGCTGGGGTTGTGCTGTAACCACAGCGGCGATTTCCACCGGCGCTGGGAGATGTTTGTCACCGCTCCCGGCTTGTCAGCATTTATGGAAGTGTGTGGCTAAAAGAGGAATAGAACATGTCACCGCTCTGCGTTCAGGTTTATAATTAGGACAAAATTGAGACCAAGCGAATGTGGTCCGTTTCGCAGAACAAGTTTTTGAGAACCTTTAGCAAGATGGAAGCAATTTCAACAGGGTAAACTACAGTGGGAAAGGGCACCAGAAGATATAGAGTACCAACCAGAAAGCAGCAGATAGCTTTGCACAGAGGCTATATTTAAAAATAAAATCATACTGCTGAGTTAGAAGAATGAAGGTATCATCTCTGCACTTTTCTTGGACAAAGAACAGAAGGAAGGAGAGCCCCACAGACCCTTGATCGTTTAGGGACAGAGATGTGAAACACTGACACTTTGGGCACAAATGGATAATTTTCATTTAAATGGGACCTTTTATTTCAGTGATGGGAGGGCCTGCGTATTAATGAGCATTTCTGTCACTGCTCTCTTTTTTCTTTTATCATTCTGTGCTCACTCACAGGTTAATCTGTTGGCTGAGAGCCAACAAGCCATGACTGCTCTGCTTAGAGAGAGTCTTGTTTGCAGAAAGTGTCAGTAACACTCTAGAGGAAGTTAATGGGGATGGGAGTGGGCTGAGTAAAAAGGGAAAGGTACACCAGAGAAGTAAAAGAGGTCGGCTGGGGCAGACAAAAAGTGTAAGACAGCTTCAGGGATGAAAAATCAGTCATAAGAAGGAAAAGCTATGCAACGTAGGAAAAAAAAATGGAAAGACCTGTGTGATGGTCTGAGAAAGAAAATGGAGAATGAAAATGAGGGGAAAAAAAGGCAAGGGACAAAGAAAAGGAGAAATGTGACTAGGATGTCCATCTGATCTGTTCAGCTAAATGCCAAATGCACTAATTGAAACAGTTTTGAAAGTGACAACTAAGAAAATATTAAGTAACATATTTCCTTTTCACACTGAGCTTTTCTTCATGTAGACAATGAGCCTCAGACATTTGTTTCACCTTGTAATCTTCGTGCTAGCTTCCTTGGAAAAAAAAAATAAAAATCAGCCAGCTTTTCTTTGGCATTCTCAGTGGGTGGATCACAGCCATTTTTAAATGTGATGTCATAGGATTGTATTTGCCAGTCCAGATCAGAAATAATACACAATGCTTTTCCCAAAAGGGCTACACATGAATGTCACTAAAATGCCATCCCATTATTTGCTTTCTTGATGTGTTCGAGTTTTGTCTAGGAAATATAGCAGAAATTAGTACAGGATAAAAAATATTTATATAAGCAGTTCAAGAAGATATTTTTTTGTTTGATCTCACATATCAAAATGGTTACAAATCAAGGGCTGCAAACAAAAGTTCAACAGTATTATATTATGTAGCTGTGAAGATTGTCCTGATCTCTAGCCAGCAAAACAGAAGGTCAGGGAGTGTCTCCACTTTTTGAGCAGCTAATTTTCAAGGTCTATATAATAGCCTGAGCAAGCCCATGCTGACCTGGTGCCTCTTTTTCTGTGGAAATTCGTGAAAGAAGTTCTCTCCAAGTGTTGAGGTTCCTTCACCTGTCAGCAGGAAGAGAGAGGACAAAGTGTGTTTGTGATGCCAGGGGTGTCCCAGGGACACAGGAATGCCTGCCCAGTGGCCCTGGCCTCCCCTGCCCCTGAAACAGGGCCAGCTCTGAGAGCCATCAAAAAGGTTTAGGTTACTAAGAGTATTGTTTTCAACCATTTGTTCCTGAAATGATTTAAATTCTCCTCCCTTTCCTTCTTTTCCCCACATGAACTCAGCTTTGTGTGTGCTCCAAGGAGCTGTTTGTTGTTAAGATCAGAGTTTTTGAGCTGGCAGATATTTTCACAGTGATTAGCAATTGTTCTCATAAGCAGTGAGCATCCTTTCTCTGCTTCAGGAGGGAAGGGAATAATTCAGAGTAAATCACAGATTTGTTTTTGATTAAGCTTCCTGGCTGGGGCCATTTGGTGACATATTTTCCTTTCCATGCTCAATTAGACTCTTAAAATTGCCTGCATCTGATCCATGCCACTGCTGTGAATGACAGACATGCATATTACTATTCCCATCACTGAATAACCAGTAGCATTACAGTTGCTCAAATGTGTAATTTTTAATAACTACAGTTAATAACAACCACAAAAACAATGTTGTATCCTTGGGCTTTTCCTCGTGGTATTTATGGTTATCTTTTCTCTGGCTTGCATTAGCCTGTACTGTTGGGATGTGGGGTCTGCAGATAACAGTTTCAGTTTGTGGAGCACAGATGTGGGGTCTGCAGATAAGTTTCAGTTTGTGGAGCACAGGATCCACTCATGCACAGAAAATTCAGTCTTAGATCTGAGTAATGCTAAGGGCAGGGGTTAAGTTTTATTCTTATGTCTTGTAAAGTGCTTATATAATGTTGATTTTAAAAAGGCATAATAAGAGAAACTGATGGGTTTTTTCTGTGGTATCAATTCCCCTGCATTCTAAAACTGACCATAAGAATGCAACATTCTCAGAATTTTTAAAATTCATAATAATTCTTTGGCTATCATTTCTACAAGTAATTCTTGTATCTGAGCATTTTATTTCGCATTTTCAGCTGTGCTGGCTAGCTGTCCTGGAGTATTAAGGTAATTATGTATGTTGTGCCCTCTATTATAGTGATACTTTTCTCATTTTTAGTGACAGTACTAATGGTTTGTACTTTAATTTCTATTACTGTATAGTAATTATTACTTACAGTACACTGTTACCATAAACATTCCTGCTGATCAAAGAATTTCTGTGAATTTTTTCAGAATTGTGGCTTAGAGATGTGTACATCTGATACAAATATGACAAGGAAGTTTTTGAGGACTCCAATTGTGGAAGTGGCTCTTTCATTTCTCATTTGGCACATTTACACATTTCAAAAACATACAACAAGGGGCAACAGCAACATTCATCACATCTTTTCTCTTGAAAATGCAAAACCAATTATTTAAGTCATAGAAGATTCTACTCACCACATGCCTATTTTACATATAATTTCAAATACTGATGTGGCTGATTCTATGAAAAATGCTATACTTTGACATATAGTTTGAAGAATTAAAAATACTCTGCTACTGCATAGCTGAAGAAACAAAGTAGAGGAAATTATTTTATTTGTTATTACCCTCATGTCTTTATAACTGAGCAGTGGCTATTTTGTGAAGCTATTTACCTTTCAATCCCTTTTAAATGTGTTGAGACACAGCAGTGTTCCAGACAGAATCCTTATTTCCTGCACTTCTACCAGGGTATTTAGCTAGCAGCTTAATTTCCACATAATTAACAAGAAATCACACTTGCCATTTCCAGTTTAAGATAAATAGTACAATTTTAGTCCTCCCTTTTAATGAAATGCCTATTAATTTTACTCTGCCATGTCTTTTTTCCCCTCTTAACATCATTGTTTGGTAAATAGAGAGGTTGTAGCACAAAAATCAGCTCTGTTTTTGAGGTACTGATACTCAGATTTGTAAATGTAATGGTCAGATCACTAATCCCTCTCTGGATTCTACTTTGATGCTGTGGTTGCTGTTGGTGAATCCCCCCAAATCCTCAGCAGATCATCAGCACATGGCCTCCTGACCCCCAGTGCATACCATGTGAGCTGCATTATGTTGCCTCTGATGCACCATGCAGTCTGAGATTTACAATACAGCATCCCTTATTACCTGTTACACCCTCAGCTAACAAGAAATTCAGAAACAGAAGAGGTTGGCTTTAAAACTGTTAGAGGATGGCAGTTATGTGTGGCCTAAGATGCTCCCTCAGCAAATTAACACATTAACAAAACATTAACAAAAGACCCAAACATGAAGCTTTTAATTCATCTCTTAATTCACCTTTTAATCCACAATCTTTATCTGGTCTATTGCTTACTGACTTCTCTTGCCTTAGAAACTCACTTGCATATACAGGAAAGCAGAACCTCCAAAATGTAGCAGCTTAGCTCCATAAAAATTGAATGACACAAGTTGTTTTGTAGCAGGATGGCATTTTGTAGCTGGCATCATAATGCAATGAAAGCTTGCTGCTTGGCAGAGGCCTGTGTGAACACATGAGCAGTGCTTCCAAGAGTTATAAATAGTGTCTCTTAATCCTTGCATTGATCTTCATGAACTTGCTTAAGGTTCAGCTACCTATATTTGTTTAGATTACTGTGATTTTGACTTAAAATTAAGACAACTATGTTTTAATATGATGTTAAATCCTACAAGTAGTCATGATTTAATGGGCACTAATTAAAAGTAAGAGCTGTTTCTCAGGCTGAAAGTAGACACAAAGAC